GTTATGAGGAATCAAAAGAAGACAAATTGGTCTTTGATGTATGTTATGGTCTGTACTAGACCCGACATAGCATATGCAGTAAGTCTTGTAAGCAGGTACATGGCGAATCCTGGAAAGGCTCACTGGCAAGCATTGAAGTGGATTTTAAGGTACATAAATGGGTCTCTGAATAGAGTCCTAATTTATGGTGGAGCCTTGGGTGAAGATAGTAAAGCAGTAATCGAAGGATATGTCGACTCTGATTATGCAGGTTGTATGGATTCTAGAAAATCTATCTCCGGATATGTGTTCACTATGTTTGGGACAACAATCAGTTGGAAAGCAACACTTCAGAAGGTCGTTGCCCTATCAACCACTGAAGCGGAGTATATTGCCCTAACTGAAGCTGTGAAGGAAGCATTGTGGCTTGAAGGTTTTGCAAAGGAGCTAAAACTTCAAGGTCGAGTTATCACTGTTAAATGTGATAGTCAAAGCGCAATACACCTGTCGAAGAATTCAGCCTATCATGAGCGAACCAAGCACATTGATGTGAGGCTGCATTTCATCAGAGGGGTAATCGAGCGTGGAGAAGTCCAAGTGCTGAAAGTTTCGACAGATCATAATGCTGCTGATATGATCACCAAGACATTGCCCAGTTGCAAGTTTTTCCACTGTATGCAGTTAATAAATCTGCATGAAGAAAGCTAGTTTCTTGATGTTATAGAGTTAGATCCAAGGTGGAGATTTGTGAGACATTGGATCGAACTTTAGTGTGGTCGAAGTCTGTTCGCAAGTAATGCGTGTTGTAGTCGAAGTTTGTTCTAACATGCATGAGTAAATATTGCTAAGGTTGTTAGCATGAGTAAATATTGCTAAGGTTGTTAGCATGAGTAAATATTGCTAAGGTTGTTAGCATGAGTAAATATTGCTAAGGTTGTTAGCATGAGTAAATATTGCTAAGGTTGTTAGCATGAGTAAATATTGCTAGGGTTGTTAGCATGTGCTATTTTATTATAAATAGGATGCTAGTTTCTCAATCTTGGCATAAGGAAAAATAGGAAGATAAAATCCTAATTTCAAGGGAGAGAGGTTATTTTGTTATTCTTGTATACTTGTAATCTTGTTCTAAGAGAAAGGAAAGAATAATAGTTTAATAACCAATCCCTGTTGTTCCTTGTTGTTTTACCTTGTTTTCTTTGTTAACCCTAACCCTTGTGTGTTTCTTGATCATTAAGAAACTGTTTATACTTTATTTAAAGGTATCCGATTCACAACATATATATATATATATATATATATATATATATATATATATATATATATATATATATATATATATATATATATATATATATATATATATATATATATATATATATATATATATATATATATATATATATATATATATATATATATATATATATATATATATATATATTATTTTTTATCTATTTCATCATAACTAAAAATCTCTAGCTTCATCATAACTAATTTTGATACTATTTATATTTAGTTTCATTATTTTCTTCTTTCCCTCTTTTTATTAAAACAATTTAAGTTATTTAACTTTGGTTATTAACATAAAAATATAAAAATATATTTCTTTCTCACTTAAAATAAAATAATAATAATAATAATAATAAATCCTTATTCGTTAAATTTCAAAGAATTAAAAAATAAACTTTTATCTTAACGTGTACATAATCACCATCATCTTTTTTAATAAAATTAAACTAATATTTTTGCAAATGGGAGGTGGATGTACATCCACCATGTCCCTAAGTATTTGGTTGATTAGCGCTCGCCGCATCGATTGATTACTTAAACCAATCTAAAAGCAATTCAAATTCATCAAATTTTCTTTTTGTGCCCTTGCGCATATTATTCAAAAACCTTTCATAAAAGAATAGTATGGTATGTTTAACGTGAATACGAACAATGTCTAAGTCTTCATCGTGCAAGCATACAAGTATATGTTTAACCTCTAAAATGTAACCTAACACTATTCTCTAATATCAACCAACCCACAAACATTTTTACACAAACTATGGTGCTCTAATTTTCTCATTGCACAATTAGAATACGTAGGCACAAAGGTTTTGAAACCTTGGCGAACACAATAATAAAAAACTTTTTTCTCCTTTTCCTTTTTAAATAATTTATGTCTTGTTGTAAATAATTCTTTTTCCCGTATTTTAATGAATATCTTGATGAATAAGAATAAAATAAAATGAAACAAATAGACCCTTAACAAACAATCGACCTTAGAACTCTAGGAGGTTCTCGTTGAATACAACGGATGTGAGGGATATTAATATTTTTCTCTTGCATAACCGACTCCCGAACCCATATTTTGTTGCGATGACCATCTTATCTTTTTCTTTTCCTTAGGATTTTATTTTCATTTTCCCTTTTCCTAGTAATAAATAAAGAACGGTAACGACTATGTTAGTCATCCTCGAGCGTGTGATGCGCTTCACAAGGTTGTATCTTTTTAGATGCAACATATGATGACTTTTTTGGGGAGTACTTTCCCTAAATAGAGTCAAGTTTATCCTTTAGTTCTAGGGTTGCTTGATTTGTTTGTTTTCTTGTTTTGTTTTTATCTTTATTATTTGTTTAGTTTTATTTATTTGTTTTTATTTCCTTATAATTTTATATTTTTATCTTAACACTCATAGGTTTTTTATTTTTTGTTTGAGGGCAAGCTCTATACCCGAGTTTGACGAGAAGAAACATAAAATTAAGTAAGGGGTTCGTCCTGTTTTGGCTAATGTGGATTCTTATCTCATGGAATCTTTAACGACGACTCTGCCTAAACTAGACCAGTTCAAAGAGTTTGTCATAGGTTGACTATCCCATCTTCATGATGAAACTTTAAATTTAATTCATGACTCTAGGGACCTCTTCTAGAACTCGAACGAGTGACTCAGTTATATGAAGGCTCCCTAAGGGTGACCCTATTGAAATTTTATCATGGGAGGGTTATGCCCTGTCATGATGAGGTTTCACCTAGGGTCCATGACCTTGGGTTTGTTCTCAAACAACCAAACAAAACCCTAAAACTTACCTTGTTAGGGAAATTGGTAGAAAAATCTACGACCTTTTGTAGGAGCCTTCAATTAGGTTGTTTTGTTAACATCTCCTTTTACATACATTGCGTATACATAAAAAAAAACTTTTAGCATACCTAGAAAACTATTTTTTTTGCATACCTGTGCATTTTCATACATACACATACACTTGCTTATCATAAAGCGAAGATTCACATTTCTTCCTCATTTCCAACTTGGGCCGCACTAGTTGATTCTCCGATACTCACAAAGGAACTCGAGGCATGTCCCGAGAAGTTATGGAGGGACTCAAGATAGGCCAAGGCCAAGAACTTATAAATGACAAGAGATATCAGTGTTGATGCGATGTTGTTAATACCGATACGGTGGACTTAGGGAGATACCTGCATGGTTAGCACTCCAACATGCAAGTCCGTTTATGGTTAAAGATTGAAGATAGTAAAAGTGGAGATTAGATATTATGTACATGTGAACCTCTTAGAAAAGTATTTATACATTGAATTTGGCGGAGTAGGCTAGACAATGAGCCTTGGGATATTGAGCCTTTGGTCGGCGAGAAGTAATGGATCTGAGCCTTTGATTGGCACGGATCAGAAGGTCCCAGATCTTGCCCGACACTGATAAGTGGGTCTTGGATCTTTGATAGACACATAACATAGATATTAAATTTAGTTTCTCAACATTTTAAATTACTATATTTAATTCAAAATTTTTAAATTTAAATAAATTTTAATTTTAGACAATAGCAGTATAATTTCTTTAAAGATGCACATGTCAAATGTATAGTTTAAAGTATTTTAATGTCCGTTAATTATAAATGTTAATTTTTTATAATTGTTTAATTTTTTTTATAATTTTAATTATATGAAAATAATTTGGTCATTTAAAATGATTTCTATATTATTTCATCCTTTAAGTTTGTTTTGAAATAATTTAATTCTTTAAAATAATTTCTATATTATTTTTCTCTCATTTTAAACTTTTAAAAATATGTGACTGTTATATTTTTTATTATACTTCATATTTTTATACAAATAAAAATAATTGCATCTATAATAAACAAATTCACTCTATTAAAAAAAAGATAACGATGAAAGACCAACTTATTAAATAAAATTAATTAAAAGACCTATGTAGTTTTATCTTAATTATATTTAATGTATTTCTTTGTATTGATCGTATAATTTTATGTTTATAGAGAATATTAATTAATTTCCAAATAATATTCTTTAATATAAATTTTTAAAATGAGTTGGGCTTTGAATGCTTTTGGGTAGAGGTGACAATGAAATTTATTTAGATAATATCCATCTAATTCATCCAATAATTTATCCATCCAATCCATCCATAAGACCAAAAATAATTTAATGGATTTGATGCAATCCATCCACTAACTCATAGGAAATTTTACCCCATACCCCTACAATTATACCCATACCACTACATAAAATTTTTTGGACCAAAATACCCTCGTATAAAAATTTATAATTTTTTTCATTTGTTCACCGGAAGACTTGTCTCCTACATTTCATTTGATGGTCAAGGACAAATTGAAAGCGAAGCAGTGGTAATTCTAAGGATTCCCCCGGGAAAAAATAGAAATGTCTCCTACGTTACCCGTACTAGGTGTAAGTAGCAACGTAATTTCATAGAGTCATTCGGTCTGAATGCTACATGAAGAACATAAGCCAGATGAAGGAACGAAACAGAAAGACCTAGGATATAGAAGATCATAACATGAGTCATTCGGAAGATTTGGATTCGTATAATATATATCCACTCATGTGGTATGGTACTTCGTTATGTCATTTATAATCTACGAAATAAACGATATATAAGATGCAGCTGTATAGATATTAGAATCTATATCCAGAAAGCCGTATGTTTTGGAAGAAGCTTGTACAGTTTGGGAAGGGGTTTTGATAAGAATCTACTTCAACCGATATGCCATTAGGCACGACTATACATAACATAGAAATAACACTTGGAAAGGGTGGACAATTAGCTAGAGCAGCGGGTGCTGTAGCAAAACTGATTGCAAAAGAAGGTAAATCAGCAACATTAAAATTACCTTCTGGCGAGGTCCGTTTGATATCCAAAAACTGCTTAGCAACAGTTGGACAAGTAGGGAATGTTGGGGTAAACCAGAAAAGTTTGGGCAGAGCCGGAGCTAAACGTTGGCGAGGCAAGCGTCCTGTAGTAAGAGGGGTCGTTATGAACCCTGTAGACCATCCACATGGGGGTGGTGAAGGGAGGGCCCCAATTGGTAGAAAAAAAACCCTCAACTCCTGGGGTTATCCTGCACTTGGAAGAAGAACTAGAAAAACGAATCAATATAGTGATAATTTGATTCTTCGTCGCCGTAGTAAATAGTCGAGCGTAAGCATAGATAAAATAGAATTTGTTTCTTCGTCTTTACAAAAGAAAATAGCAATTTACTGGGACATTATAGGATTTTCTTTTTTTAGAGATTCTATATTTTAGAATTGGAAATATAAGAGAACAAAATTAACTTTTTTAGTTATTATAGGAGGAATAATTAACTATGACACGTTCATGAACAAAAAATCCTTTTGTAGCCAATCATTTATTAAGAAAAATAAAGAAGCTTAACACAAAAGGAGAAAAGGAGTTAATAAAAACTTGGTCCAGAACATCTACCATTATACCTACAATGATTGGGCATACCATTGCTATCCATAATGGAAAAGAGCATTTACCTATTTATATAACAGATCGTATGGTAGGCCATAAATTAGGAGAATTTTCACCTACTCGAAAACTTGGGAGGGTATCCAAAAAATGAGAAAAAATATATTTCTTAATTTACCCTTGGACCTATATTTTTTTTACCATATATTTAAAAATACAGGTCACAATCATCATTGAAGTGAATTTTCCCATTCATTTTAGGATACTTTTCGCAATCATCATTGATAAAAATGAACATTATGAGGATTCAAATTAATTAATAAATTACTCAATCTGTTGCAGAATAAAAAGAATTGTATTATTCTGCAACAGAAAAAGAAATAAAGATATAGAAAGTTTAATAAAAAGAATATAATTATGGATAAACAAAAAGATACCGAGTGGTGGTTATGGGCCAAAAAATACATCCGCTTGTTTTCCGACTTGGTGCAACTCAAAGTCATTATTCTATTTGGTTTGCAAAACCAAAAATGTATTCCGAGAATGTAAAAGAAGATAAAATTATACGATATTGTATCAATAATTTTATACAAAAAACGGTACCCGAATCCTGTGAATTCGAGACCGATATCTCTGGCTATGGAATGGGACGAATAAAGATTCAAAAAAGAATCGATCTGATTAAAGTGATAATCTATATGGGACTTCTAGACTCCTTAAAAGAAAAGGTTAAGGATCTAAGAGTCGAACAATTAAAGACTCAAGTGCAAAAAAAAGTAACTTATGGGAACCGAGAACTCGACCTTGAAATTACAAAACTTCCAAGTCCTTATCTTTATAGAGACGCTAAAATTGTTGCAGAATTTTTAAGCGAACTATTACGGAATCGAATTTCGTTTCGTAAAGCAATGCAAAAAGGTATTGAATTAGCTGAACAGGAAGATACAAAAGGAGTTCAAATAAAAATTGTGGGACGTATGGAAGGAAAAGAAATTGCACGTGTCGAATGGACGAGAGAAGGTAGGGTTCCTCTACAAACCATTCGAGCTCCAATGGATTTTTGTTCCGTTCCACTTGTAACTTTGTTTGGGGTATTCGGAGTCAAAATCTGGATATTTCAAAACTTCTAAACAACGACTAATCAACTTTCCCTTATAACGTTCCATCTTTTTTTTAAAACAAAAAATGACAATTTGAAATACTTTACGTTGAAGAAATTACAAAATTTGGAAGATTGAATAAAAAAAATTAATGAATCATTTTAGAATGAAGGAGTTGCTATGCTTAGTGTGTGACTCGTTGGTTTTTTTTTAGTGTTTCAATTTCTACAAAAATTCGTAGAATTCATTACTATAAAAAACCTACTCATCGCTTCCCATTATCTGGATAGAAAGAACTGCCGAAAATAGAAAATCAAAATAAGGATCTATGTGGTGATATAATTATAGCAACTGAAATAAAAAAATAAAATTATTAGTTGTAAAGCAATAAGAATATACAGATAAATGAAGGGGTGAAAGAAAGCTAGAAAAAGGATATTAATGATATAGAATTCTACTATGTAAAGGTCTATTGGTCATCTCATAAAAAGTAGTGTAATAAAGCATCAATATTCAAAATTCATCCATATATGGATGAATATTAGAATAAACGAATAAAGAGCCACGAATCAAGAAAACTGAGAAGGTTGATTCAACAAAAAAGAATAAAAAAAACAAAATCTTATTAATCTTATTAAAGCAGCTCCATTGTAGAATTTAGACCTAACCATAAATCGAAAAGCGATGGGAACGACGGAAATTGTGAATACAAAAGATTCCATGAAAATTAGAAATCTCATTGATTCATTAGATGGGATGGCGGAAGAAACTAAAAATTCATGGTTTTTTGAGGAGTTGTGGACGAACCCAACATTACATCTTCAATTTATAATCAGAGAGTCAATATTCGCCCGCAAAAATCCCGCGATTCTATTTCATTTTCTATTTTAGAAAAAAAATATGTATATTAGTGTATATTATTTTAATTATTATTCTTTTTTCGGTTCCAGATTTTTCAATCGATTTATTTGCGATGAGCCGTATGAGGTGAAAATCTCATGTACGGTTCTGTAATAGATATGGAATTGAGACATAACCATCAACTATAACCCAAAAAGAACGAGATTCCGCAAACATCATAGAGGGAAATTAAAAGGAAACGCCTCTTGCGGTAATAAAATTTGCTTCGGAAAATATGCTCTTCAGGCACTTGAGTCCGCTTGGATCACATCTAGACAACTAGAAGCGAGTCGACGGGCAATGTCACGAAATGTTCGCCGGGGTGGACAAATATGAGTCTGCATATTTCCAGACAAACCAGTTACAGTAAGACCTACCAAATGTTAAATATAATTCATTGTGATTTGATATAATTAGATTTGATATCATATGATTAGATTTGATATCATATGATTAATTTGATATGATATGATTATATATCATATGATTAGATTTGATATCATATGATTAGATTTGATTTAGAATATTTTGGGCCTTTTATGTTTTGGACTAGTGTAAACCTAAAACTATAAATAGGGTGCCTTGCTTTGTATTCTACATCACAACAAAACAGATTTCACAGTTGCAGTTAGCAAGTGAAAGTTCAATAAGAAATCCCACAGTTGTGGGTAACACATTCTCTCCAAATACTTCTTCTCTCATTCTTCTCTTTCTTGTTTGTTATTCTTCTTCTCTTTTGTTGTTCTTGATAATTACTTGTTATTACCATCATTATCATATTGTGGGTTTGTTCATCAATCTTGAGATCAAGATTGAAGGGAATTCTTCATAGGGTGTGAGGTGAATTTCCAACATCTGGTATCAAAGCTCCGATTGAGAGATTCAAGGAAGATAGTGATGGCGATGAACTATCCGAACGGAAACTTTCCGGCGACCTTGCCAATTCTCAAGAAAGACAATTATGAGAATTGGTGCAAGCAGATTAAGGTGATCTTCTATTATCAAGATCTTTGAGATCTTGTGAAAGATGGAGTAACATCGCTTGGGGAGAACGCAACGGAGGCAGAAAAGGCTGCACACAAAGAATTGAAGAAGAATGATTATAAAGCACTCTTTATAATTCATCAGTGTGTTGATCCTGATAACTTTGAAAAGGTTAATGATGTTGATTCAGCAAAAGAAGCATGGGAGATTCTTGAAAAGTCGTTTGGAGGCGCAGAGAAGGTGAAAGAGGTGAGGTTACAAACTCACAAGAGAACCTATGAGTTGCTTCAGATGGAAGACAACGAGAGCATTACAGATTTCTTCACCAGAGTTACAAAGTTGGTGAATCAAATCAAAGTATATGGAGAAGCGCTAACGACGAAAGCAGTTGTCTCAAAGATTTTGAGATCGTTGGCTCCAAAATTCGAGCACGTGGTAGTTGCCATAGAAGAGTCGAAAAATCTGTCAGTATTGACGAAGGAAGAGCTTCAAGGGACTCTTGAGTCTCATGAACAGAGGATGACTGAGAGAGCTGCAGGAAAGTCGAAAGATATGGCTTTGCAGGCGCAGTCAGAAAAGGAAAGAAAAGGCAAAGGTAGCTGGAATGGCAACAAAGGAGGAAACCAGTCGAATCAGAAGAAACCTTGGAACCAAGGCAACTAAAGAGGTAGTGTTGTAGGTAAAGGAAGAGGTGGTGGTCGAAAGCCAGACAAAAGCCACATTCAGTGTTTCAATTGCCAGAAGTATGGTCATTATGCTAGTGATTGTCCAGAAAGGAAGAGAAATCAAGAGACTGATGCAAAGCTGGCGAAACATGAAGAAGAAGAAACGTTGCTAATGGTCACAACAAAAGATGAAGAAAGATTCCAAGATCAGTGGTACTTGGACTCAGGATGCTCATCACACATGACTGGAAGGAAAGATTGGTTTGTCAACATGAAGCCCTCGTCGAAGAACACAGTGAAGTTTGCAAATGACAACACTCTAGCAGCTGAAGGTGTTGGTGATGTTCTGATCATGAGGAAAGATGGAAAAAAGTCAACAATTTCCAATGTTTGTATATACCAGGCATGAAGAGTAATTTGCTCAGTATAGGGCAGCTTGTCGAAAAGAACTACAAGGTAGTTGTCGAAGACAAGATGATGAGAGTTCTCGACGTAAGTGGTAGATTAATCTTGAAGGCTCCAATGTCTTAGAATAGGACCTTCAAGATTGGACTCAATGTGATAGAGCACAAGTGTCTGGCAACTGGAGCCAACAGAGATGAGTGGTTATGGCATTTTCGACTAGGTCATATCAACTTTAATGACATCAGAGAACTGAAGAGAAGAAATATGGTTTCAGGATTACCAGAAATCGACATTCCAAGTGAAGTCTGTGAGGAGTGTGTTCAGTCGAAACAACACAAGAATAGCTTCAGCAAGGATGCAGGAAGGAAGTCGAAGGCAATACTTGAAGTCATATACTCTGATGTATGTGGTCCAATCCAGGTGGATTCGATTGGTGGCAATAGATACTTTGTCACGTTTATAGATGATTACAGTCGAAAGTTATGGACTTACCTCATCAAGAAGAAAAGTGATGTGATTGAGGTATTTTCCAGATTCAAGTCCATGGTCGAAAGACAGAGTGGTCGAAAGCTGAAAATTCTGAGGACTGATGGTGGTGGAGAGTATGTGTCGAAAGAGTTCGATACACTATGTGTAAAAGAAGGGATTGTGTATGAGGTGGTGCCAC